TTGCTGTAATTTTTATGAAATGAAAAGTATTAATATTTAACAATTAATTATTTAAATGTTTATTTTGTTGAAAAAAATATACGTTGATAGTGTACATTTTCTGTGCTTAACATCCATGTGACCCAAAGTCTGGACAAAAGATCCCTTTCTATGAGTTTGGCTGGTACATCCCAAAGGCATCCCCTGTCTTGTCAGTGGCATGCCTACTCACCAACAACCCTACCCCCATTTACAAATTCAGTAGTGATGTTAGCCGACTAATAATCTGCATACACATTTTCTAAATTTGGTAATAGATTTCTGCATTACCTTCTGGTTATAGAAATAAAATTACCAATTTAGGTAATAAACAGCTTAGCCGGCTAAGGATTTTTAAACGGCTAACATCATTAAAATTCAGTTGGTCAGATAAAAATTAAAGAGAAGCAGAAAATTTGAGAAAATGTTTAACTTATAACATACCAAAATCCGAACCATTTTTATGGCTTTTTTCTTGTCGGCCATATTGCTGACAAGGATGTATATAATCATGTGATAATTTTAACCTATAGGACAGAGGACTGATTGGGCAAAAACCCAATCCAGTCCCCTATCCAAAATCACTAAATTGGTTAAACAGAGAATTTACGAAAATGATTATACAAAACAAACACTATTTTACAACTTCTCTCTTAACATCAGAGTCCAAATGCAATTTCAGGGCCACCAACCCTGCTCTGAATTGCGACCTCCTGTGCTGGAAACGAGTTGCAGATTCTCATTGCTTTGATGGATCTGGATATTTACATGGCACTAATATTCATCAGCAGAGTTGTGACTTGGTCACAGTGCCATCTTTGCCCTAGAGGTAGGATCGTTGCAGGTAAATTTTCATCCAACATGGCAGCAGCCATCTCTGGCCTGGGAAGATTAGTGAAAGTGTCATTGACGATTGATGCAATCTCGATAAACTCCAGAGCAGAGCGACCCCCCCCTGGAATTCGGTTGCATCATTGTATCATCGGGGGATGCAAGTCAGATTAGCCTTATGTACACGAGGAAGATGTGAGAATGACTGTAATGTGTTCAAGGTAGCATGCGTGCGTGCTTCAACATCTGTAAATTTCCTGTAATCAAACGTCGCATATTTGAAATGTTTCTTCTGTAACAGTCAGTCATGCTGCCTTGACACCTTCTTGTGATTATATATTTATAATAATATTAATATTATTAATTACGAAAAGCAAAATATTATCAATGAAAATCTTGTAATTACCCAGCAAGATCTGCTCTGCGTTTTGATTTCCAATTAAAATATTTATAATAACCAAAAAAGACAATGCAAATAAAAAAAGGTACCTCTGGTTAGTTATTAACACTTCTTCTTTAGGAGACCCAAACCAAACCAAACAACAACACTCACGTTTTGTCACCTTGGACTCTGTCAAAAAGTAAATTGTTTTTCCAAAAAAAAAAAAAAAAAATCAATTCGTGTCTGTCCTACCAAATAAACCAATAGGATAAATAATTAGTGTGTACGCGTCAATCGTATCACAAAACTTCTTTATCTTAAAACGATGCCACGCAACAAAGCAACTGATAGCAAAAGAAGTAAACAAACAGAAACAAGAAATGACAGGTAAGTGTTTTAAGGATGGTGGTGGTGGTTATTGCCCGCCACCTGTCGTCACTCTAGTTTTTTTGAAAAATTGGCATCATGGCACAAAAAGTTCAGCGACTAAGTGACTTGCACTATATTTTTATTCAGTCGGATACCACTAGAAGATGTTAGCAATGTTGATGATACTATTAAAAATAAATCTGGTGTGTTTATTATTATGTATGATTATATGATTTTAGTATTATTTATTTATTTATTAATGTTATTTATATATATTAATTGATTTCAGATGAAATGAGATATGAACTCAAGATAAATGGAATCAATATCAGAACATTATTAGAAACATATCAGGATGTCTCATTAGAAATTGGAAAAGAGAAACAACTGCTTGTTGAATCAAATGCTTACGAAATATTATCACTATCATACATCCTATTGCTTATTCCCAATTCTTATTCCAAAACAATAATAAGATCCTTTGGCATTACATTATTAGAAGAACTGCATCTACAACAAACATTAATACTTCCAAAAATAATATTGGGTGATAAACCTGTTTATACTTTTAGAAAAGCAATTAAAATGGGGAAAAATGATTCCAGAGATGTAGCTGTTGTTTGGCTATGTGAACAACTTTCGAAAGAAAAAATCATAAAAGATAATCTTGGTTTTATTATATTAGATCTTTTAAGAACATTGCCTATTTCAAAAATCCGAAATGACCCCAGCGAAATCACATTAATTACAAATAATCTGGACAGAATAATGAAAGGGCTTTTTCATGATCCAGACAAGACCTTAGTACAATGGCCTAATACGGAATTACATGAAAGCAAAATAAGAAATTTAGCCAGTAGAGCAAAACAGCCTGATTTCACAGTTTCTTTAATACATCAACAACAAATTGATTCAGTGATTTTTGTTGGAGAAGTAAGTCCACC